TCTATTAATGTTTCCATTTGGTACTATGGGCTCAGAGCTAATTAACCTCTTAACCTGAAGTGAAAGAGGCAGTGCACAGTACATGTGCTAAGTCAGCCCGGGATCACAGCAGGACGGGCTCGGGAAGGGCCCTGGACCTAGTGTTTGCCTTTGAAGAACATGTGTGTCATGTCCGAATCAATGTGCCCGTTTTTATTTCCTGTCGTTTTGGTGCAAGTTGGCAATATGATATTTTGTTGTCCTTCCAGCCCTCATGGTATGTCCAGTCCTTCCTGTTTAGCTTATGTCAGGAAATAAATCGCGTTGGAGGCCAGGCCTTACCAAAGGTGACCCTGCAAGAGATGCTGAAAAGCTGCCTGGCTCAAGTCATAGCTGCCTATGAGAAGCTGTCAGAAGAAAAACACACCACGGTAGGTGTCTGGTTGTTTGCCCATTAATAACAACAAAAAATGCAAAAAAAAAAACAAAAAACCAAACACATAACCTAGCCTTTCCTTGGCTCTGAGCCACCCACACCAAGCCGTGGGGCTTCTACACATGGTCTGTGGTGTTAGGCTCACACCTAACGTCACAGTGAGGAGGCAGTTGAGGACAAGTGAAGGGACACGGCCACTAGAGCTCACTGCAGGTTCTGGGAAAACCACTAACCTGGATCTCCTCAGCTATTTCTTCATCCGTTAAGTGGAATCCCTCCCCAAGCCCACCTTCCAGTGCGGAGGGGGAGGGAAGGCCACAGCCAAGCTCAGAATGCTGGCACAAGAGTAGCTATCCATTAAGGGAATCCTTGTCTCTTAGCCTCCACTTGAACTCAGGGCCTGGGCACTGTCCCTGAGCTTTTCTGCTCAAAGCTAGTGCTCTATCACTTACGCCACAGCTCTACTTTTGGCTTTCTTGGTGTTTAATTGGAGATAAGAGTCTTGTGGACTTTCCTTGCTCGGCTGCCTTTGATACTCAATCCTCAGCTTCCAGCCTCCTGAGTAGGTAGGATTAAAGGTGTGAGTCACCAGCGCCTGGCTCCCCTGTGCCAGACAGTCCTGACTGGAGGAAGAATTTAGTCAGGTCTTCTTGGGCTTTTGAACTCACAATGCAACCTCTCTGACAGGAATCCCCAGTTCTTTTAGTCTGTTTTGATGGGTCTCATCTCACACCTGCTGTTAGGTTTTGTAGTTTTTTGCAGTTTTTTTGGTCAGTCGTGGGGCCTGAACTCTGGGCCTGGGCGCTGTCCCTAAGCTCTTCAGCTCATGGCTAGCGCTCTACCATTTGAGCTACAGTGTCACTTCCAACTTTTTCTGCTTATGTGGTGCTGAGGAATCAAACCCAGGGCCTCATGCATGCTAGGCAAGCACTCTACCACTAAGCCACCTTGCCAGCCCCATGTTTTGTAGTTTTAAGACCAAGATTAAACCAGTGAGTACAAATAGTATCTCCTAAAATACCAAGCTATGGCCCCGCCAGAACCCTTAGCTGCCCTGTCATAAAATATCTCAGCTGGCTGGAATTCCTCTACAGAAAGAAGCTGCTTTTCCTGTCACCCAGAATCGGGCCCTGCAGCTTCTCTATGACTTGCGCTATCTCAGCATCGTCCTGACGACCAAGGCAGAGGAGGCCAAGAGTGGCCGGAACAAACCTGATGCCAGGTACTTTTCTTGAGCCCCAAGACAGTCTCTCCAATGCAAAACACAGGCAGTTCCCCATTTATGGCAGGGGCACAGAGTGGTCAGTAGAGAGCACGCTACCAGCTATGAATGTGCCTTCTCAGGGATCATTGTAGGGTGCTCTCCCTCAGTCCCTACAGCAGCGCAGTGCTGCTGTGCTTCCATGTCAACTTAGGATACTTTTTGGCTTACGGTGGGCTTACTGTAATGTATCCCCTTCATAAGCGACGAACAAGCCAAATGTGGTAAACGTGGTAAACACCTGTGATTCTAGCATTTGTGCAGGGAGGCAGGAAGAATGCAAGTTCAAGGCCAGTCTGGCCTATGTGGTAAGACCCTGTCTCATAAATAAGCTGAACATCCGTAGCCCTTTTACTGAGAATCCCCCAAATCAAAAGCTAATCTCTTTGGAATGTTCACTAGGTTTATCTTAGTGAGTGCTGATAGGACCATTAATAATGGCCTGGGCAAACCCCATGGTCAATTGAAGCAGGCAGAATCTCAATTATCTTGGTTATCATTTGAGCTTAGTATCCATCCCCACCCCCCAAAAATGTGGGAGGGTACATGGAACAGACTTGTCTCAAGCCAGTCAAAAACACTAAGCCAGCAATTCAGCTGAATCAAAGCCTCTGTCCAGATTCCCATAATAGCTGTAAAATACTGTTATTGTCTTTTATCTGGATCCTCTTAGAATAGAGAAAGTGACTGATGGTCTGGAAGCCCTCATTGATCCATTTGACCTGGATGTTTTCACGCCTCACCTCAACAGCAACCTCAACCGCCTGGTGCAGCGAACTTCAGTAAGTGCTAGTAGCAATGAAGCAGGAGGACACTCCTCACCAGTGCTGGAACAGCAGAGCACAGTCAAGTCCTGAGGAGGGCTGGGTTAGGTAGAATCTCACAAGTTGGGGCATCCAGGATCTGCCCCCCCTTTTTTTGTCAGTCATGGGGCTTGAACTCTGGGCTTGGGCGCTGTCCCTCAGCTCTTCAGCTCAAGGCGAGCGCTCTACCGCTTAAGCCACAGCGCCACTTCTGGTTTTCAAGTGGTTTATTGGAGATAAGAGTCTCACAGACTTGCCTGCCAGGGCTGGCTTTGAACTGTGATCCTCAGATCTCAGCCTCTTGAGTAGCTAGGATTACAAGCATGAGCCACGGGCGCCTGGCCCCCCTTAGTTGTAAGTAATGATTGCTACTGGTTTTACCCAGTCTTAGATGAGGAATAAAGAACCACAAGACTGAAACTCAGATCTGGGTAGTGGCAAAAAGCAGTTTAACCCTCTAAAAAATTATATTACTCATTGACCCCTCCCCATCTTGTGTGTTCCCTTTCTTGCCTGCCAGGTTCTATTTGGATTGGTAACAGGTACAGAAAACCAGTTCACGCCCCGGAGCAGCACGTTCAACTCCCAGGAACCCCATAACATACTGCCTCTGGCCTCAAGTCAGATCAGGTAGGTGACTGCAGGAGGTGGGGCTGGGCCAAGGGCTGTCTGGCCATGCCTGAATTCTTCCTTCTCCTTGGAGGTTTGGACTCCTCCCACTGAGTATGACAAGCACCAGAAAGACCAAGTCAACTGGCAGAGGCATCGACACACAAGCCCAGGTGAGTGCCAAGAGCAAGAGGCCAGCCCTGTGGCTCCTGTCCTCTCTCCCACCAGCCACCCGGTCAGCTCCCTTGGAAATAACCAGTAAGAACTGAATGACAGTGCACTAGTGCTGCTTTTAATGGCGGCGCAATAGAAAAGTACAAGGTCTTGCTAGCTTGAGCTGATAGAAACTTTAAAAGACGCCAAGAGACACCACCAGATAGCCTCATGGTAGAAATGTTTCCCAGGCCGCAAGGCTATAGAAAATGTTCAGGACAGGACGGAGATGATCACTTACACTTAGAAGGGCGAGCACTCTGATGGGACTTGCTCAAAGAAAATCCTTTTTCTGGGGATGGATTCGTCTTCAGTCTTTTAGTTGGGTGGGAATTAAGGTTTACTTTGCGTTGTATGTTTTCTGTTAATGCGTGTTTTGTTTCAGTAGGATGCTATCCATTAAGCCTGCGGGAATCCTCCTGGGTATTTCTGAATTGTGTTGTGTACATGTGTGTGCAGAGCTCAGCTTGTCTTATTACAGCATTTAGTTGTTTACTTTATTGTTAGACAAAATATTAGCAATGTATCCTATCCATATTCCCTGCCATCAAACTCATTAAAATCCAAAGTCCTTGGCAAACATCTGGTTTTAAAATCTAGGAGACAGTAGTTTAAAAAACAAAACAAAAAACTTGCCATAGTCCCATGCTGCACACGTAGCACTACACTCCCTGGCACCGCCTAGCACAAGCTTCCATGACCCACAGTTCCCTGCAAGTCCTTTCTAGTGGAGGAATGCCATGGAAGGGAATGCATGTTTTACTCTTCCCCAGTCCTGCTCTCCGATTTTACTTGGTCAGAGTAAAATAACATGCTGTTCCCCAGGGTCCTTTTCGCATACCAGCGTCAGCAAAATCCTCAAAGCCATACGCGCTTCCCAGTTCTGTGGTGTGCCTTGTGCGGCGTGGCCCCGAGTGCAGTGCAGTGGGCGGGTGGGGGCAGGGCAGGCAGGAGGCTAGGTGGGCTCTAAGGCACTTCCTCTATATCCAATGGCAGGTTGAACCCCTGCCACTCTCGAGAGCAGGTGACCCGGCGCATCCTGGCTCCTTGTTCAGACAGCTCCTCAGCGATGAAGACGACTCTTCTGCATCCTCATTATTCAAACTTGGCTGGCTCTCTAGTATGACCAAGTAACACGGAGAAACGCCCATCCTGTCTAAATAAACACTATTGCATTGTCTTTCCTAAAGGTGGCTCTGCTTGTTTCTAAACTCTACCTCTTTTCCATTTTGGTGGTGGAATGCGGTCCCTTAGTCTCCAGCAGGGATGACCTTATCAAGTTTCACCCACTTGTCAGGCACCAAGTCAGGCAGTGGGCATGCTCTTAGCATCCAGTCATCCATGCCTCAGTTACCTTGCCGGGTGAAGTTACCAGGAGCTGCTTACAGAGTCCAAGTAAGACAAAATCATGACATATTTTTTGATGTGGAAATTGCATTATTTCCTACTAAAGTTGGAGCAGCGCTGACAGACATTTTCTGTGGATACAGGAGCCTGAGGGACTCGCCCTGGAAACACTGCTGGCAGAGGAGGCAGGACGAGGGAGGCTGCTTCACATCCCGAGTGAATCCGGCTCAGGTTGCTCTCCAGTTCCAATGTCAGCATCCCTTCTCAGGCTAGCCGCACACAGAGGAATATCAGTCCATCCCAGTGCAAGACTCAAGCTTTCTATATTTTGGGAGAAAACTTGTGGGGTTTTTTTTTTTCATGGAAACTGAATTTTCATGACTAGTTTATTGAATAAAAAATTGAAGATTCTGCATTTTGTAAAGGCCCTTTTACATAAAAGTCAAATCTAATTGACAAACTTGGAAACGAATCTGAATGAGACACTATGGATGCAACACACAGGTTTCCTCCCTCCCTCCTCCCTTAATCCTATAAAAACTTGCTCCGAAGCCCCTTGGAAATTGCAATAGTGCAGCAACACCACAAGTAAACAATTGCCTGTTAACCTGTTATTTCAAATATAGACTGAAAAGCCAACAGGCATCTTTGTGTGCAATTTTTTTTAAAACAAATTGTAGGTTGAAATACCGAATCTGCACAGCACTGTCCCTTCACAGAAGGCAAGAAACTGCCAGCCCTTCATGTGGGAGGCCGGCCCCGGTGCTGCAGGCTGTGAAAGTGAGCCTCCTTCAGGGTCTGGTTGATGTGGAAGTAGAGGCCTTGGCACAGTGCAGACTGCTCAGGTGCCGGCTGAGGGGTGTTGGGGCTCGATCCTGGGATGACCTGGGTCAGGTTGCTCTCTGGCCCACTGGCCCTGTCAGGACTGTTGATGCTGCTGCTGCTGCTGCTGCTACTACTGCTGCTGCTCCCACCACTGTCACTGCTGGAAGACTGGAAGGAAAAAAGCCAGAGTCACCATCAGCCTGTCTTGCTGCCTAAGAACATGATTGTGGGTGAAAGCATAATCTCTACTAAATATTCTTCCTGTCAGTAGGGAGCCCCAGAATGGGCACATACTGGGGTTACATGGTTTACCAGACACACCCACCATGCCTGGACTCCACCCTCACAACTACCCTGGCAGGGCCTGTGCTAGACTGCCTATGAGGGGTGGGTCTGGGGTCAGGCACCAACCTTCCTACTCCACGTTCTTCAAAACTCAATTCTTTTACTCATCTTCTCTGCCTACTTGAACCCAGCAATCTCCAGTAGTGAAAGAAATCTCTAAAGGGAGAGTGCTAGTCACTAGACAGGGCAGACTCGGGCAAGAGCTCCTTTCTCCATGACAACTCAATACTGTACTAAGAGGAATCAAAGTCAGGATTCTATGAATAGCCTCATATAATTTTTTAACTTGGCTCTTTGATAGCTTTGGTCTTTTGGTTGTTTTTGTTTCCTTGGACAAAAATATTGGTTTTGAGGCACCTGTTGAAAGTATGTAAAGACTTCGGTGCTTATGTTGGAATGGAACTATTGTAGTTGCTTATATTTCTATCCTTTATAGCTTTTTTTCTTTTTCTTTTTTTTTTTTTTGCCAGTCCTTGCGCTTGAACTCTGGGCCTGGACACTGTCCCTAAGCTTCTTTTGCTCAAGGCTAGTGCTCAACCACCTGAGTCAGAGTGCCACTTCTAGCTTTTTTGAGTATATTAGGGGAGGAAAGAGTCTCATGGATTTTCCTGCCCTGACTGGCTTCGATCCTCAGATCTCTGCCTCCTAAGCAGTTAGGATTGTAAATGTAAGCACTGGCACCCAGCCCTTTTTAACTTTTTTACAAGGTAAATTACAGATTTTCGCTATAAAACAAGTACATAAATATTTCCAGATACATACTTGTAATTTTTTAATCCTAGATCCCATCTGTTTTTTGACCAAAAATGACATCTAACAATATGAACACAGACAACTGACCTGAAACAGCCTGAAAAGGCAAAGATGACAAAGCATCCATCAGTAATGAGACCAAAATCAAGTCTCATCAATCTACAGACCATGGAACTACTAACAGGTTATATAACCTATTGCCCACTGGCAGTCTGATTAAAAGTAGAGTTCATAAAATGACTGGAGAGGGACTGAATGAAATCAGAAGGCAGGGCCAGCAAGCAGCATTTACGGAAAGGCTTACATCAAGGCCAATTCAAAAACAAAAATTTTGTTCTACAAAGGTCAGGAAAGACCTACATCCACCCAAGATGGCCACAGACACCTTGCAGAGACCATCGAAGTTTTACTGAGGTCACTACACTGGATCAGAAACCCACCGACAAGAATGCTCTGTTTCCTCTTAGTCTGCTTTCTTTACTGTTTCTGGTTACAGGTACTGTCTGAAAATCAAGGCAAGAACTAGAATCAGTTTCCAGAAAGTCAAAATTTCAGCTCAAATTAGATCTAGTTCACACTATCATAGCAAAGGTGATAGGTTAGAAAAGGATTCCATATAGTAGTGACTTAAAAAAGTATACCTGGGCTGGGAAGGTGGCTCAGTGGTAGAGCACTTGCCTTGCATGCTCGAGGCCCTGGGTTCGATTCCTCAGCACCACATAAGAAAAAAAAAAGCTGGAAGTGGCACTGTGGCTCAAGTGGTAGAGTGCTAGCCTTGAGCTGAAGAGCTGAGGGACAGCGCCCAGGCCCAGAGGTCAGGCCCCACGACCGGACCCCCCCCCAAAAAAAAAGTATACCTGTAATTTCTACTTCATTTAAAAAAATTCTATAACTCAACTGTGTATATGTGTATACTTGCACACACTAGTTCTTGAGCTTTTGTGCTCAACGCTAGCACTCTACCACTTGAGCCACAGTACTACTTCAAGCTTTTTAGTGGCGAATTGTAGGTTAAGAATCTCACAATGGGGCTGGGAAGGTGGTTCAGTGGTAGAGCGCTTGCCTTGCATGCATGATGCCCTGGCTTTGATTCCTCAGTACCACATAAGCAAAAAGAAAAAAGCCAGAAGGGGCACTGGAGCTCAAGTAGTAGAGTGCTAGCCTTAAGCTGAAGAGCTGAGGGACAACGCCCAGGCCCAGAGTTCAGGCCCCACGACTGGACCCCCCCCAAAAAAAAAAGAATCTCACAATGCTGGGTGCCGGTGGCTCACAGCTGTAATCACAGCTACTTAGGAGGCTGAGATCTGAGGATTGCAGTTCAAAGCCAGCCCAGGCAGGGAAGTCTGTGAGACTCTTTATCTCCAATAAACCACTAGAAAACTGGAAGTGGCACTGTGGCTCAAGTGGTAGAGCGCTTGCCTTGAGCTGAAGAGCTCAGGGACAGTGCCCAAACCTAGAGTTCAAGCCCCATGACCGACCAAAAAAAAAAAAAAATCTCACAAGCTTTCCTTCCCAGGCTGCCTTTGAATTGTAATCCTCAGATCTCAGCCTCCGGAGTGAGCTAGGATATCAAGCATGATCCACTACCCCCCAACCCTATAACTCAACTTTATAGTGATGTTCATAAAGTGTTTAGTAGCTGGGCGTCAGTGGCTCACAGCTACTCAGGAGACGGAGATCTAAGAATCTCAATTCAAGCCAGCCCAGGCAGAAAAGTGCGTGAAACTACAATAAACTACTCAGGAAAAGCCAGAAGTAGTGCTGTGGCTCAAGTAATAAGAATGCTAGTCTTGAGGACAAAGAGGTTCAGGGACAATATCCAGGCACTGGTTTCAAGCCCCAAGACCGGAAAAAAAAAGTGTTTAGCTCAAGGCTAGAGCTCTACCACTTAAGCCACAGAGCCACTTCTGGCTTTTTCTGCTTATGTAGCGCTGAGGAGTTGAACCTAGGGCCTTGTGCATGCAAAGCAAGCACTCCACCACTGAGCCCCCTTCCCACCCCAGTTTCATTATTCTTTTGGGCCTAGAAGAAACAGCATTGGTTATGGAGCCCACCTTTCCCAGCACTTTGTGTTCCTCTCACTACAGTAGCCTGAATTCTGGTTGTTAGTAGGTTCATTGCTACCATCTTCCTCTTTAAGCTTAGCAAATATTTACTGAATGATGGAGCAATCCTAGTAAAATGCTTTCTTGAACACAGTAGGCATACATATTTGTTTGGAGAGTAATGGGTATGAAAACAAGCTGGGTCTTGCTGTTTGCTAAACAGTCATAAATTGCTGCATGGTCCCCACAGGTGATACCAAAATAAGACAATTAGGAGCCTTGTTTTTGGCTCACCTACTTATGTGTAGTTATGCCTAAATACAGAATCCTTAATTTTTGTCAGACACCTATGAGTAGCCTTTGTGTATTGTTTATAGGTTCTTGGCTAGAGTCTTCATCAATTTTATTTTGCTTGTGTTCAGTGACTTGCAAGGGACTGGTACTTTATAAATTATAGCTTTATTCTACTTCTTCTAGAAATAAAAATTTGTCAGTACTGGTCAGATGTCAGTACTACCCTTGTGAATGAAAAATGCAGAGTAAAGAAAATGAGCCCTGGGTTGGGAAGATGGCTCAGTGGTAGAGTGCTTGCCTAGTATGCATGAGGGCCCTGGGTTCAATTCTTCAGCACCACATAAGCAGAAAAAGCTGGGAGTGGTGCTGTGGCTCAAGTGGTAGAGCGCTAACCTTGAGCTGAAGAGATGAGGGACAGTGCCCAGGCCCAGAGTTCAGGCCCAAGACCAACAAAAAACAACAACAAAATGAAGCTGGGTGCCTGTGGCTCACACCTGTAATCCTTAGCTACTGGGGAGGCTGAGATCTGAGGATCTCAGTTCACAGCCAGCCTAGGCAGGAAAGATCGTGAGACTCATCTCCAATAAACCACCAGAAAACGGGAAGTGACACTGTGGTTCAAAGTGGTAGAGTGCTAGCCTTGACCAAAAAAAGCTCAGGTACAGTGCCCAGGCCAATCCCCATGACCAACAACAACAAAAAAGAATAAGATTTTTTTTTTTTGGGTCTGGTAGTGGGGCCTGAACTCTGGGCTTGGGCGCTGTCCCTCAGCTCTTCAGCTCAAGGTTAGCGCTTTACCACTTGAGCCACAGAGCCACTTCCGGCTTTTTTTCTTTTTTTGCTTATGTGGTGCTGAGGAATCGAACCCAGGGCCTCCGGCATGCAAGGCAAGCACTCTACCACTGAGCCACCTTTCCAGCCCCAAATAAGGAAGATTTTTACCAGGATTTGAACTCAAGGCCTCATACTTGCTTGGCTAGTGCTCTACTATTTGAGACATGCCTCTAGCCCTGTTTTTTTCTGGCCAGTCCTGGGGCTTGAACTCAGGGCCTGGGCATTGTCCCTGAGCTTCTTTTTGCTCAAAGCTAATACTCTACCACTTGAGCCACAGCACTACTTCTGGCTTCTTCTGTTTATGAGGTACTGAGGAGTCAAACCCAGGGCTTCATGCATGCTAAACAAGCACTCTACCACTAAACCACATTCCCAGCCCTCCAGCCCTGTTTTACTGATTATTCTATAGATGGAGTCTCAAAAACTTTTTTTCTGCCTGTCTCACTTCGAATTTGAGTCCTCCAGATCTCTCAACCTGACATAGCTAAGTTTAGTGGTGTTAAACACAGCCCCACAAGAATAAGGCAGATTTTTAATATGCAGAAGATAACAGGGAGTACAAGAGCAAATTAAAAAATAAAAATGAGCCTTTAACTCATCTCTTGCCTGGGGAAAAGAAATGTTTCTCTCACTTTTTCTATTTCTTTCCACTTTAACCTGTTATGCTAAAATAATATCCTTGCTATGACTTTCACCTTATGGGACTCTCTATTTGTGAGACACCCTGAAGTTCTTTCAAGATCTCAAGGTCCTGAGATTTTGTACGGGAACTGGGAAGTTGAAGGAACCCCTCATCCATTCATCTTCTAGTGACAGAAATAGGCATGCATGAGCCAGGGTTGAACTTGACAAGGTATAGAAAGCATTTAGCTTAGCCAGGCACTGGTGGCTCACACCTGTAATCGTACCTACTCAGGAAGCTGAGATGTGAGGATCACGGTTCACAGCCAACCCAGGAAGGAAAGTCCATGAGACTCTTATCACCAATTAACTACCAGACGAAAACCAAAGTGGCACTGTGGCTCAAGTGGTAGAGTGCTTACCCTGAGCTAAAGAGCTCAGGAACAGGTCTGGGATGGTGGCTCAGTGGTAGAGCGCTTGCCTTGCATGCTTGAGGCCCTGGGTTCGATTCCTCAGCACCACATAAGCAGAAAAAAAAAGCCAGAAGTGGCACTGTGGCTCAAGTGGCAGAGTGCTAGCCTTGAGCTGAAGAGCTGAGGGACAGCGCCCAGGCCCAGAGTTCAGGCCGCATGACCAGACCAAAAAAAAAAAAAAAGCTCAGGAACAATGCCCAGGCCCAGAGCTCAAGCCCCACAACTGATTCCCACCCCACCCCACCCCCCAAAAAAAGCATTTAGTTTTAGCCAAAGTTTCTGTAGGTATCTACAATACAACTCAAGGAAAACAACTCTAGCAAGCATGTTTTTCAACTATTATCTTTATTTTAGCTTTCCAGAGGGTAACATTAATCTGATACTAAAAATACATAAGAAAACTAGTAAAACTCAGCTCTCCAGCTCAATGAAGTCAGATCCTAAATCTCATGTAATTAAAAACACTTTATCAAGGAAAAAGGTCCCTAACTTTTTTTTTGTTACCCCTGAACTTTTGTGCTCAAAGCTAGTGCTATGTAAGGGGAGGGGGGGGGACAGCAAAGTTTTTCTTTTTCTATTTCTCCCTACTTCAACCTAGTTACACTAAAGTAAATCTTTGTGAAAGCTTAAAACACAATACAACCAGGTGCCAGTGGCTCATACCAGTAATCCTAGCTACTCCGGAGGCTAACATCTGAGGATCAGGGTTCAAAGAAAGCCAGGCCAAAAGTGAATCTGTGACTCAAGTGGTAGAATGCTAGCCTTGAACATGACTGACAGCTCAAGGACAGTGCCCAGGCCCTGAGTTCAAGCCCCAGAACTAGCATAAAAAAAACAAAAACCAAAAAACATACAATACAAAAACCTGTCTTGGGAAAATAAGCTAATGGTGTGGTGTGGCTAGATCTACAGGAGGAGCTGGTGTAGCACAAAACATACAGGAGGAGCTGGTGTAGCACAAAACATACAGGAAGGTTTTGGCCAGACTCCAAGAACTATAAATTTTGGGGGTGGGGCAGGAGATCAGTCATGAGGCTTGAACTTGGGCCTGGGCACTCTCCTTGAGCTTTTTTTTTTTTTGCTCAAGGCTAGTGGACTACTATTTTGAGCTCCATTTCTGGTTTTCTGGTAGTTAATTGGAGATAAAGTGTTTCACAGACTTTCCTGACCAGGCTAGCTTTGAACCACAATTGTCAGATCTCAGCTACTTGAGTAGGTAGGATTACAGGTATGAGC